TTGAAATTCTGTCGAGAGAGAATGCTTCTGGAACATAGCCATACAGCCCGAAAAAACTTACAGCAACCCAGAAGGCATTCACTTGGGTTAACATTGGGTGTTTGCTGAATGGCATACTTATAAAGGAGAAAACCAGTTGTTTCTCCTGTTCAGTCAAGTGGTGAGGATTTTGTAGCTACCCTGCCACTTCCCAAGATTTCTTAATGTGTGGTAATGATCATGGCAAATACATTTCAATGACTTGCTTCCAAAGGTGTGGCCTTACTAGCTCATGTTTTTTGTTTAACTTGCAGTTCATTACCGAGGGATACGCTGCCCACCTGGCCCAGTTGGAGTACACCCATCGCTCCCGGCCGGCAAAGAACACCACCCGGATGGCCCTTCGGAAAGGCAGCTTTGGCCTCCCCGGTCAGACGGAATTCCTGCGCAAGAGGAACCACCTGCTGCGCACCATCTCATCTCAGCCCACTGTGGCTGGCGGGAGCGCCAGTCACAGGCCGGAGCAACCACTGAGCCAGTTGGAGAGCACCCGGGAGCGGGAACGCAGCCAAAGAAGCCTGAGCCTTGCCACAGGATGCTGGGGGCGGAGTGCAGCCTCCAGACCCGAACCTGGGGCTTTGGGACCAAAGTAGAGCCATTCAAGAAGGCGGCTGGGGATGTCCCGTGGCAGTTAAGTGGAAGGAGTGAAGTAGCCGAGGCCTGCGGTGTGGGAAAAACGGGGAAATATATGGTGCTACTCATTGCCATCAAGGCAGCAACCACTGCAAGGGGAAGACCAAGCAATGTTTTGTTTTTTCTCACACAGAAACCGCTGGCCTCGGCAAGTGGGGTTACAGAGCGCTACAGAAAGGAAACCGACTCCCACAATTTCAGGAGAAGGAACATGAGTGTTGAAAGAGCCTCCGGGCGCATCTCCTTGCCGCCTCCCCCACTCCTCTCTTTATCCAGGTCTAGCGATTGTAAATATGTGCCTCCTCCGCTTCTTAGCCATCCAAGATGCAGCTTGGGGCGAGGAGGCGGGGACCGTGGTGCCCCATGGAGCCGGTGGATGGCTCTGTAGTTCGCTCTGTAACCCCATTGGGAAATGCCAGATGCTGCCACTTCACGACAAATTAAAATCATGTCATTTGCGGAATCTGGAAATAAGGCCTTCAGTCCAGAAAAGGGAGCTTGGAGCTGCCCTCTACCCAACTATGGGGCCAAGTCATAACATGGCCAATCCTTAGCCACGGGTTACATTCAGGCTGTCACTCTGATCATCGGATCAGATTGACAGTCTGTAGAAGCTCACTACCATTGTCCTTTTCCAAAAACCACCTAGAAAATATTTTGTAAGAGAAAGAAAAAGAATGACAGGAGGATTTTGGTGGCTGGTAGATTGCACTAATTGTAAAAAAGAGATGTCACTTGAGCTGCCAAAGAACTTTGCCCATCAGTAGATGGAGAGGGGGTGAAGATTTGGATAATTTCGCAGACATTACTAACCAACACTAGCCTTTTTTTGGATATACCTACAGTATCGTTTCAAGCATCTGGAGGGAAATCTAATAGGGACATTACTCAGCCTAAAAAAAAAGGAAAAAAAAGCTCGGTCCAAATTCCTTCCCCCCTCTTCTCTGCCTAGTTCTTTTCTGCCTCTTCTCCCACAAGATAGGAGTCATTCCTTCTTTCCAACTTTTTGGTAGCAGCTTTTGACAGAGGATGTAAACGTGCTTTCTTTTTTTAACTGTAGTTAATGCAACTGTAAAACCTCATTGTTTTTATTTGTTTTGCACTGAAAACTTTTTAGAATGCCTAATATTTTGATGAAGCTGCACCCTATTTATTTCGTGCACGAGAGATCAGTGTTATCAAGCGGAGGGTAGGTCTACCCAAACACAACGGAAGAAAGAAGCGCACAGGCGATGGATGGGCCCAAGTTGTGTCCAAGCACATTTTCAGGAGGAGGAGGAGGGCACACCTTGAGTATCTCTGAGGGATTTCAAGCTTGAACAATCTGGTGTAAAGGAAGAAAGGTCTTTGGAAGAAGCAGCTCTGTTGTCTCTTCTCCCTGCTAACCCTATTCCCAATGTCAAGGATGCTCTTGCTTTACAATGCCCTCCGTTAGCCACTTTCAAACTGGAGAAACTGCACAAGACGATGGGCTTTGAGGGGGAAAGTGCCTCCAAGGAAGGGTCTGGGACATCTCCTGAATCCGCCCCCAACCCGATGTCCAGAACCAGAATTTCCTTTGGTTGCTAAGGGCCAGTCCTTCCCAAAATGCCATTCTCTTTGGACAAGGGAAGACCTGCTCGCCAAAGGCTGGCACGGCCCCATCTGGCCTTTAGTTCCTGGAGGTTTCTGCATTGGTTCAGGGTGCCCTCCTTGGTTCAGTGTGCCCTCTCCTCGCCCGTTTGTGACCGCCCTCGACTTTATAAGCTCTTATACGTCCAGAAGATTTCCTTTTCCAGACCAAACGTTGCGTTTCCTTCCCTTTTTGTTTTCTTTTCAATACCAAGACTCGTAGCACTGTGAATGAGGCCTCTACTGAATCACAACGAGGCTTTTACAATTCATCCAGATGTTTGTGGGAAACACACCCACACTGGTTTGCTACTTCGGTTTCGACACCAAATACAACCGTGGGCTCTGCCTAGAAGAACGTGGTTCTCTAAAGAAGCCAATGTCTTTTTTTCCCACGGGAAGAGCTCTTCTTTTGAGATGAAGCTCACAACATACGTCAGCAGTTTAGGTAGCCATACTGCACAGGTCTAAGCCACTAGTGTTGGATACAGTTGACAAGGAGAAACTAGCAGTTTTTTTAACTATTTAAAACAAAACTAGCTTCCCTTTCTGCTCATGGAACCTAGTTCTTTGCAAAGGGAGGGGATTGACATGGACTGTAGTGTAGCTCTTGGCCGTATAGCTCAGTCTAGGCCATAGGGCCACACAGGTCTGGATCATCCTGTTCCAATTCATCCTCGCAAGAGACAAAGATGGTGACACAATCTAGAAAGGACTTTCACTAATTCAGCCTATCCTTTCAACATTACCAATGAACCAAATGTGACTTGTACATTTTTTTCCAATTTCGGATGAAATTCCACTTTGTGTATTTGTGTGTGTGTGCGTGTGCGTGCGTACGCATGTGTGTAGTATAAAGCAATGGGCAACAGGGAGGGGTGGGGAGGAAGTGGGGCTACAGATTACGGAAGTGCATTATTTAGTCTTCTAAAAATGTCTCTGGAGGGGCAAAACCCTTTAGGGCTTACTATGTCAAATTTCAGCTTTCTTGCCCTACCTTTTGGTTTCAGGCCTTGCATACAAAATCGCATTTTATGGACCTGACAGGACTGTCAGTGGATGCTACGTGCACCTTTCTAACTGCCTCTCATCCAACCCCATTAGAAACCAGTAGTTCATACGAGGGACAGTTAATCCCATGCACATCCGAAACCATGGCCAGGCTTTGATATCTCCCAGACGTTCTCCATGTTTGTTTTCTCAGCGGGCAAAAATCTCCCGCACTTTTCTGTGCTATTGTGACAGTGCTAGGTGGTGCGGTACATCATGAGAGAAAATGGGAGGAAGCACTGGCTTGGTGCTTTTTACAAGTCCCTCCCAACGCTGTCATGCTGGTCTATGGATTTTGTGTAGCATTCTACCGTGCATTATATTATTCTGGGCTTTGAAATGCAATTTCTTACTTATTTACATTCAAACAGTAGCAATAGGCCAGTTTGAAAGTAGGCTAGCTTGTGTGTGTGTGTGTGTGTTTGTGTGTGTGTGTGTGTAATGCAATTGGAGAGCAGCGCTTCAGTGGCAAGTGACGTGGCATTTGAGGCAAGAAGTAGTCGAGAATGGAAACTTTCCCCTTGCCAACGTCGAGAAGCACTTACACCGTCGTGTGACGTAGCCATGTTTGTTGTCAAGGGGAAACAATGTCTATTGCTATAAGCTGCCATGATGGCACAGCATCCTAGGAATCTTGGCTCTCATTGGAAATCCAGAGCAAATGCAAAGCCCTCTGGGGCTTGAAAAGTCAAGGGGGGCTCTGCAGGGCCATCAGTGCAGAAAGATGTGAAATGTTGTGCTTTGCCTCCTTCTCTCCTATAGCCAACTCTTTATGCATTTGTGAGCGATTTGTGTGATTTGCCTCATTTATTGAAGTGACACCGTTTTAGCCCAATTTGTAGACTTATTAGAATTGTCATGGGTTTGGGGCTTTCTTACGTTAACGTTTTCTTCAGACCTCAGACATCAACTTACCATTTGTCTTTGGGTTGGGATCTTTGCAGAGGAAGGTGGTCTTGCAGAAACATTTCCAAATAGCTAAACTTTCATCAAGCTCTCACATGGGATACGATCATAATTTATATCCCTGTATGCAGAGCACACCTTTTGGCTCCTTGTTCCTATGTTGCACAGTCAACTTGGCAAGGCTCTCTCCCTTGCGGCTGCAGGGGAAGAGTGAGCCTATGCCCACTGAGGTGGATGGGGAATTGAGTTAGATTTCACTCACTACTATCACCCCAAGCTAAGCATTTCTTATGGGACAACGCTCTCAATTAACAATCTGAAAAAGCAACACGTAAGCACATAGCTTGTTCTCACTGGATGGAATTCTTTCAGCACACTCTTGTTTTTATTCACTTGGAGGTTCTGCTTCAGTGGGGCTTATATTCCCTCAGAAGTGTATTTGAGATGGCCAGTTTGGTGCTGAACAGGAATCCCCACAATGCAAACAGGAGGAAGTTGAGCTCAGTAGGATGTGTTCTCTGCAAAGTGTATTTAGACGGGCAGTTGGGATCTAGTCTGGCTCCAGCGCATGACCTGAGGGCACACAACTGCCAAAATGGAGGTCAGGACTGACCCTGGATGGGAAGCCCCCCCAGCTTCCTCAGTGGAAGGTGGTGCGGACTCAATCAGTGAGGCAAGCTTGATGGGAAAGAGGCCGTCTTTCTGCACGAAACAAGATTGTTTCCTATTAATTTTCACATCCTTTGACACACACACAAACAAAACATTCAAAAATCTTTAATTTTGAAAAAAATGTTTACAATGTCCTAAACCTAGGTCAAAGAATGTCAGCTGCTAAAAAGATTTCAAGTGAAACTGCTGCTCACCTGGAGCATTTTGTCCCATGCTCCTGTCACCAGAGCAATCCTTCTTGTTCAGGTATCTCTCCCATTGCTGCAATTTCCCGTTCCCGTCCAAAAGCCTTACGTTGTTGTCTCCTTCAGCCCCCAGGCGCCTTTCCTCCCTGACTGTTCAAATGTTTGTCTCTTGAGAGTGTTCTCTTTTTTGGAACAGAGGTGGGAAACAATGGAGGGGGGAAAGCAGATTGAAATATTTAAGACCGTTCAATGTAGAAAGGCACAACTGCAAGGCCCAACTCCCATCTGGGCCTGTTGTTTCATCTTTTCATTACTGTGATTGTGTGCATGTTACTGTCAATCTCCTGACTCTTGTACGTAACAACCCATCCTTCTCCTTTGCTGTTACTGCCGCCTTGTATTGCAGCCTGGGTGTGCTTTGTATATGGTTATCACTTGTATGTTAACACCGAATAAAAAAAAATGGGAAGGTGCTCTTTTGTGTCTCTGCTTCTTTGAAAGACATTGGTAGCATGTAGCATTATGGGGATTTGAGGTACTTCTCTCCAGGATCCTTTAGTCAGATCCTTTGGAGAATCACAAGCTGGAGGACATCGCAGCAATGGATGTAGGGGGTCCCCAGACATACAAAAACTGGTGACTTCAGCATGGCTTCATATTACTGAGTGACCAAGCAACCAACTAACATGCAAAACAACTTGGAATTAGGAGTTAATCAGGTCTTTTGGCCCCATGTAACTATAGTGTTCCCTCGCTACTTTGCGGTTCACTTTTTGCGGTCTCGCTGTTTTGCGGGTTTTTGCCTCCCAGTTTATGAATGGTTGTCGTTGCCCAGAGCAGCGTTCTAATCCCGCCTCCTGGCAACGATGGAGTGGGGAAGGGGGTTTCACCCTCCCCCTCAGGAGAGACGCAGCCAGTCAAGAGAGACTACAAAGCAAAGCAGAGATAGCTAGCAAAAAAAAAGTGCGCAATGCCTTTAAATCTCTCCTTGCTTCTGCCCTTCTCACCCTCGGAATGCGATATACATATATAGCATCCCTACTTCGCGGATTTTCACTTTTTGTGGGTGACCCTGGAACTTAACACCCGCAATAAGTGAGGGAACACTATACACTCAAATAGGTGGTGGTGGCAAGGAGGACAAGGGGACCAGTAGCTCTCAAAGAAGCCAGAGGTAGGCAGCTTCCATTGTCACCACTGTGCCACTGGGGGGAAAGCTACTGCTAGTGTTGTGCCCAAGAAGGGAGAGCAATAGGTTAATACAGAACTCTGGGTCAAACCTCCCTTTAGCTCACAGTCTTACTTTGGACAGGTCGCAACTTCTCAGATGTATCTATCCCACAGAGTCGTTGAGACACAGAAAACAAATAGGTTCTGGCTGTGACTCACTCAGAACAAGAAAAAACATCAACAGTTTGATCTCATATCACATTTACTCACTTATTGACAAAATGAATCAAGCAGGGGTGTTCTTGGCCTCCTCCTTGGTTCAGTAGGTCTTCCCAGTGCCATAAGGATCCCATGCGCATGCAGAACATCATCCATATGCCTTTTTCAAGCTACATGTCCACTGATAGAGGACCAAACCTTTCGCTTTACAGTGTTCCATAAGGAACAGATGATTCCCTGATGCTCATAAAGCTGATGGGCAAGGAAGGTTGTTTTAATACAATAATGTGTTTCTTCAGTTGGAAGACGCACCCAAATTTCAGGACTGCCACCACCAACAAAAATACATACAATACCCCTGAGAATCTAAGACTCACCTCATTTTCAGATCTGTCTGCATAGGAAAAAGGTGCGTCTCACAATTGAAGAGAGACCGCATATTTGCAGCATTTGTTATCTGAATGGGTCTGAATGGCTTGAAAAGAACTTCTGATTTTGAAAAGGAAGCCACAGACGTCTAAGAGCACAATCAATCCAAACTTAAGCCATGAAAGCTGTGTGTTTATGCAACCTTCCTACAGTCAATTGTTCCCTTCTAGCATTTTGTAAATACTTCACGACGTTTGTGGTCCTGCTTTGCGCCGACTGCCAAATCCCAGGTGCATTATTGTTCAACAATGGGGAGCTAATTAAAAGCACAGGACGCAAATTACATTTCTGCCCCTGTGCCTGATTGCCAAGGCAGGACTTGGGAACAGCTGCTCCCACCGCTTATGTAAGGTGTCTCTTTAAGAGGACAGATCATCAACCTCTCCAAATAAATACTGGGGAAAGAAGAAAAGACCCATTCTCCTTCATCTGCCAACTGCATAACGCTGGCGGCATGAGCAACCCTCAAGAGCCCTCCATTAGGGAAACCAATTTCAGGGGGAGAGATGTCGCTAAATGTCAGCGCAGATAGACACGACACTCAGGAGTGCTTATTATCTTCTTTGGCTAATAGTCCAGCTGCGCCCCTTTCTAGAATCAGAATAAATACGATGATGCAACATGCTGGTGAGCTCAAGGCTGGACTTCCACAATGCACTTTACATTGGGCTCCCTCTATACCAAGTTTGGAAAACCTAATCTGTTCAAAACATGGCAGTCAGATTGGTTACAGGAACATCACACCCATATTAAAGTCACTCCACTAGCTGCCAAAGAGTTTCGAGGTCAAGTACAAAGTGTTGGTTTTGGCCTTTAAGGCCCTACATCAGGGATCCTCAAACTAAGGCCCGAGGGCTGAATACGGCCCTCCAAGGTCATTTATCTGGCCCTCGCTCAGGGGCAACCTAAGTTTGAAAGGACTTGAAAGCACACAACAGCAACAAGAACAACAATCCTATCTCATCAGCCAAAAGCAGACCCACACTCCCCATTGAAATACTAATAAGTTTATATTGGTTAAAATTGTTCCTCATTTTAATGTACTGTTGAAGGCTTGTAGGTTTGTGGGTTATATGGCCATGTTCTAGAAGCATTCTCTCCTGACTTTTCGCCTGCATCTATGGCCTACAACCCAAAAAAAAAAAAAAGCCTACAACCCAGTTCTTCATTTTAATTATTGTATTGTTTTAAAGTGGGGTTTTTTTTTGCACTACAAATAAGATATGTGCAGTGTGCATATGAATTCATCAATGCTTTTTCCAAATTATAATCCGGCCCTTCAACAGTTTAAGGGACTGTGACCTGGCCCTCTGTTTAAAAAGTCTGAGAACCCCTGCCCTACATGGTTGGGTCCAGGTTACCTACAGGATTACCTTCTCCCATACAATCCATGGCCCTTTAGGACACAGGTCCTTTGAAGGATGCTTAGTCCAACCAGCTAAAACCTGACTGACACCTGTCACTCAGAGGACCTTTCCATCAGCTGCCTTTTGTCTATGGCACGACCTGCCAGAAGACGGCCGACAGCTGAACAAATCTGAACTAGAATTGAAGACCTCTCTTCGAGTAGGCCTATCTAGTCCATTCTAATTGATAACACTTCTAATTGACCTTTTATTAGTCTGAATTATTTTAATGTGTGTTTCAATCAATTATATCTATTGATGTTGTAACCCGCCTTGGAGAGAGGTGGGTAACAAATCAAAGTATTCTTAAATTTCATAAAGCCTCAGATGCTCTGTTGCAGAATCCTCAACCTAATTAACAATTCAGCTAACATTGGAGTTCGGGAATTTTTGCCTTTTTGAATAATAACACCCAGCGTAGCAACATGGCCATACTAACCAGGGAATGCTCCAAAAGTTCTGCTCCTTGCCTTCTGGAGTCAAGGGGGCTTCAATCCATTTTTATTACCAGCTCAGATGGGGAATGTCTGTCTTATGGCACAGGCCAGAGTGGCTGTAGCGACATGATGGACCATAACATCCATCATCCCTGATTAGACTGCTGGGATCAATGGGAACAGAAGCCCAACACTGCCTAGGTCTGTTTCTACTCGGCCTCCTTTTACTTTGGAAGAAGCTCCCTCTGGTTTCCCTATGGATTGTGTTCAGAAAGGAAGTGGGAGTCTTCTCCCGGAGGACCTCTGCAGAGTGCAATGGAGGAGCCTTGCAGCAAAACAGGGAAGCTTAACACCAAAAAGTGGCAAATACATGCAGCAGCTGTGGGTTGGGACCTCACTCTCCCCCACCTTTATCTGCAATGTAAGTCACTGGTCATGCGTTTTTCGTGGGGACAAACAGGTTGTATGCGCTCTTTCAGACAAAGCCTGTTGTGACTGGGCAGGAAATCCATCTTTGGCACAGCGGAACACACTCTACCAGTATTACTGCAGCATTCCCGTCCGCATCTGGAAAGAAAGGCCATCTCCTCGGGTGGCTTGCTGTGGAAACAGATGCAAAAGAATCATATATTACTCGTGTTCTGTGCCAAAAGACTCAAAAAAGGCAAAACATGGGGGGGGGGGGGGGAAACATAAGAGAACTGGCTGATAAAAAAATCCGTTAAATACGGTATGGGCTACTACAGTGCTATCAGAAAAGTTAACTTAAGCCATTGATTAATTTCAAACCAAGAAAGACTGGATGAAGAATGAGTCAGTAAATTACAGCAATTATATGTAATGGATGTAACTAGAATAAGTAGAAGTAATAGAACTGACAGAGCTATATTGTATATAGCACGACATGAATGATGAGGTGAGGGGAGCATAGATCGGTCTTATGAAAAATAAAAAAATAAAATCAATATTATAAAAAAGCCTATAATGTTGAAGAACTACAGTTTCTAATAATTGGTCCGTCAATCCAATGGGGCCCAGACAGCAGCACAGCTTACTTTGAAAAACCACATGATCAAAGAAAAGTTACTTGAAAATGGAGGTAGAACAGAGTAAGACATGTAACCTACACTTTCCTTTAAAGGGAAACTGCAGCAATGCACTCCAGATTTACTGCAGGGGAGGGCAACAATCAGGCTTGCTTTACAACACAAACTGGTAACCAGAGTCCCACCCGCTGGAGCCAGGGATAAAACAGTGGGTCAGTTACCTGGGAAGGCCCATAAGCCAAGTGATAATATGGCTCGCACAAAGAAGTCTAAACCTCTACCTTGGTGATGACACATTAGGGTTCTAAGTTTACTTTGTGGAGAGAAAAAGCGGGGTATAAATAAAATAATAATAATAATAATAATAATATATTATTATTATTATTATTATTAACAATATATAATCAATTATATTATACATATAATTAATTGTATAATATATAATAATATATAAAGATGATGATGATAATAATAGCAACAATAATAATAATAGTCTAATAGACACTTTTGAACTGTGTTGTTGGAGGAAAATTCTGAGAGTGCCTTGGACCGCAAGAAGATCAAACCAGTCCATACTCCAGGAAATAATGAGAAGTCAGGAAAGCTTGGTGAAGAGAATGATGCTGGGGGAAAAGGAAGGAAAAAGGAAGAGAGGCAGACCAAGGACAAGATGGGTGGATGCTATCCTTGAAGTGACTGGCTTGACCTTGAAAGAGCTGGGGGTGGTCACAGCCAACAGGGAGCTCTGGTGGGGGCTGATCCATGGGAAGGCACTGAACAAATAAACAACAAAAGCAGTCTAATTGCTCCTGTCCAAAACTGGGAGCTAGAGGTACTTACTGGCCTTCTGCAACTCACCCAAAAATTTAGACCAGGTGTCTTCAACCTGTGGACCTCCAGGTGTTTTGGACTCCAATTCCCAGAATTCCTGTCCATTGGACAAGCTGGCAAGGCCAAAAATCTGGAGGGCTACAGGTTAAAGATTCCTCATCACGAATATTTAGGAATCATTTAGCAATATGGTAACCCACCTCGAGCCATGAGGCATGGCGGGTAAGAATTATTATTATTTGAAACACAACAAAATGAGTCCACAGCAAACAAGATCATTCTGCTGGCTGTTGCATTGGATCACGTGTCAGACACTTCCCAAGTGTCTAGGACTGTGTGATGTATCAGCAAATAATGCATGCAGATCCCAGTAAGGTGGCCTTCTGCAGCTGGCAGATGGTAATTTTGTCAGTGCCGATTGTGTTTAAGTGCAGGCCAAGGTCTTTAGGTGTGCCGATCACCACTGGGACCACCTTGACTGGCTTGTGCCAGTCTTTGCAGTTGAATCTTTAAATCCTTGTATTGTGTATTATTATTATTATTATTATTATTATTATTATTATTATTTAGAGAACCCCCCCCCCCCAATAATCACCAATGAGAGATCTTTGCCACTGCTACTAAAAGGTAGGAAAGCCACCATCTCAGAAGGGACTGACGCTGCCCACAGCAGCACCAAAAGAGAGACCCCAACTCTTGGCCAAGCTGATCAGAAATATTTCAATAAGATAAGATTCCAATAAAATAAGAGTGTGAGGTTTCATCTGTTTCTGAGCTGGAGGTTATGCACCCCTCCTGCAACAATTCCAGCTTACAAAATCCTCTCGCTTAGTCCCAACTAAAGAAAATGAATCCATTGTTGAGCCATTTACTCAACTGTGGGGATCAACAACAGGCTTTTTTCCTGTTCAAAATACTCAAATCTGCTGTCTGTAAATCTCACGACTTTACAGCCTATGTACGTACCTTGTTAATTTCCTTATGTCTCTCCTTGGTAACAATTTCCTCAAGGACCTCGCCATCGCCCTTAATAAGCCTGGAAGAGAAACCAAGTCAGTGCTCCCAGCTCAGTTTCACGCACAATAGCTATCGATAAACCTACCATTAGTACTTTTGTGGAGTTACATTGACATTTTGAAAACAGCAGGGAGTTCAGAATGGCTTTCCATGGAGAAAAACCATAGATGGGAGAGAAAAGAACATGATATCCATTAAACTTTGGAGAGGTATGTTTAGTGACCTCTATTGTTGTGTGCCTTTCAATCAATTCCAACCTCGGGGGGGGGGGGGGGGGGGAGAGGTCCCACCATGGGGCTTTCTAGGCAAAGTTTCTTCAGAGGAGGCTTGACACTGCCATCCGCTTCAGTGACTGAGGCCCCTTCCACAAAGCTGTATAAAACCCCACATTATCTGCTTTGAACTGGGTTATATGGCAGTGTGAACTCAAATAACCCAGTTCAAAGCAGATCTTGTGGATTATCTGCTTTGATATTCTGGGTTATATGGCTGTGTGGAAGGGTCCAGAGAGAGTAGGACTTGCCCAGGGTCACCCTATAGGTTTCCTGGTTGAGCAGAGACCTAAACCTGGATCCTAGTCCCACACCCAAATCATGACCTTTAACATTTATGCATTTATTTATTGAAAACATTTATGCCCCACCCTTCTTGACCTCTGTGGAGGGACTCAGAACAGCTTCCAAACAGGCAACAATTTGATGCCAAACATAATATAAAGCATATAATGAATACATCCACAAAATTAAAATAATTCTAAATATGCATTAAGAACCCGCTCGCCAGATCAAAATCACCAGAATTAAAATCATCATCCAAAGCAGTCCAAGTCCGCTCCAATAAATGTTGTCTTTTCCAGTAAACAAACTATTCTGTGAACACCTCATCCCATAACCAGGATGTAAGCTTCTTCCAGAAGGTCAGGAGGGAGGGGCAGATCTAACCTCATTGGGGAGGGAGTTCCACAGCCAAGGGGCCACCACGGAGAAGGCCGTCTCTCGTCCCCACCAAACACGACTGCGATGGCGGTGGGACTGAGAGCAGGGCTTCCCCAGATGATCTTAAGGTCCTAGACGGTTCGTAGGGGGAGATACGTTCGGGCAAGTAAACTGGACCAGAACTGTTTAGGGAGTTATAGGTGAGCACCAGTACTTTGAATTGAGCCTGGAAGCTAATAGGCAGACAGTGGAGCTGGCGTAATACCACCCCAATAATTATCACACCTTGTTCTCCCTGTTTCTGGATCGGTGACTCTCCTTATGACGCTCTGCCGTGCATCCCACTCCTCTTTGGTCATTGGCTTCATGGCTTGGATGCGAGATTTCTGCTCATCGGTCAGGGCTGAAAGGTAGACATCCATCAACATGGCGAACCCTTCTCTTAATGGGAATGACACGTCAGTCTCCACATACCACTGGTTAAAAGCACACACACACAATCCCACCCAGCAACCAGTCAGTGTGTTCAAACCACAGCATTTGGGAGGAAAATGCTCTCCTCTTCCAATAGGGAAGGCTAGTGAAGAGGAGGGGCCATTCTCCCAAGAGGGCCTGATTGACTGAGGTCTAGATCAATGGCTCGAGTTTTCCTAAGCATTAACACAAGCCTCTTCAACCTGTGGTCCTCCAGGTGTTTTGGACTGTGGCTTCCAGAATTCCTAAGCATTGGACAAGCTGGACAAGCCTCTGGGAGTTGGACGGCAGGAGGTTGAATTGGCCTGCTTTAACAAAACATGCCTATACCTGGCAAGGAAGAGACTATGGCAAAACCATAACAATGTAATTTTCTGTCCTTAACTGTTCATAAAATAGAGAACATCCAGTGCAAAACATAACAGCCTGCATCCCTCCTAACCATCGGATGCCTCAAAAATGGAGCCCAGAGACACTGGCGATGAAGGAGTTAATGGTGGTAACACCCCTGGTTGGTCCTGGCACTAAAACATAGTGGCAAACAGTGGGAATTCCCAAAGATGGAGGTGCAGGAAACCTTGCACATAATCAAGTCTTCTTAGTTCAAGCACCTCCACATCCATGCTGGGGACCCCAGAGGCTTTGGGGAAGGTGGGGCTTCCCTCCAGGGCTCCAGCTCTTTCTACCTGGCCCCCAAGCATCCACCTGTCAACATACAATAACAATAATAAGCCCAGAAACCACACAGCAACAACAACAACAAACAACATAACAATAACAATAACAATAACAATAACAATAACAATAACAATACAATAACAATAATAATAATAATAATAATAATAATAATAATAATAATAATAAACACGAGAATGATCTCCTGCAAACTCCTTCTTCCCCATTCCCTGCTAGCTGTGAAACTGGGTCACATCCTGACTATCTTGTGCAAAGCCCAGAAAGATCCCAGGATGGTGAAGCCAAAGGCAGTGACGAGCTGAGCCACTTCCGTGTCCGAGAAAGGTCATTCTTTTAGAGTGGTGGTTCCCAACTTTTTTTTTACCAGGGACCACTTTCCAACATTAGTACCAAAAGAGTTACAAACCAATTTTTGGTCAACTTTAGATTCAGTTCAGTTATTTGGGGTGTTGATTCAGAACATTGCATTGGATAGACCACATCAGCTCTAGCTTCTAATACAGAACATATGCCATCCAGTAGTCGCCACCTGCTCACCCACAAAAAACCTTATTTAGTAAGCCTTAGCACTATAAGAGGGTTTTGTGAGACCAGTTGCTGTCGTTGCAATGGTGTAGTAACAGTGAGGCCACGGACCATATTTTAGTTCTTGTGGACCATTGGTGGTCCATGGACCACAGGCTAGGAACCACTGTTTTAAAGGACAACCCCCAGAAACCCCTTCCAGTCAGAATAGCAACAAATCATGTTGTCTGGGGGTACATGCTGAACATTGCCATCTCAAAATGCAATCTGCCAAGCTCTTGCGTGGCTACATTCCTTGAAATATGGAGGCCAAGCTGAAGGACCTAGTATGGAGCAGTCCTAACAAAGTGAAGCTAGAGCAGGAAAAAATTCACCAGGAGAAAAAGTGGTCTTCATCACGAACTTGTAAGCTTCGTCTTTAGCTGCTGGATTTTAATGGACCTGTTCTCACAAAATGCAGCTCTCTGGAAACAGTCTTTCACGTTTAATCTGAGACAATGCAAGCCTTACCTGGTCCAGGATCTGCCATTGTCTCTCTCTGCCACTGGTCTAAAGATGGTCCGGGCAGTTCCTCCACTCTTGTTTTCCCCTCTTTCTCCTTCATTTTCTTCTTTGCCTTCTTCTTTGCTTTCCTCTTCCTCTTCCTTTTCTTTTCCTTTTTAACCTTCTCTTTGGCCAGCTTTTTCTTGCTCTGCTTCTTCCTTTTGGGCCTGGATTCGCCATCACTCGACTCTTCCAGAGAGGAGTCAGAGGAGGAGGAGGAGGATCCAGAAGAGCAGGACGTGATCTCAGAGGAGGAGGAGGAGGACGAGGAGGACGAGGATGAAGAGGCCACCATACTGGTCTTTCTTTTCTTCTTGTCTTTTTTCTTTTTTTTTTCTGGAAGCCGGCATCAGTCAGAGGTTAACAAAAAGTACCTGCAGTGTGCTATACAACTCTACAAAGATCATCCAAAGAAGGAAAGGGGTGTTCTCTTTTTTTAATCATGTCTAGAACCCAGCCCTATCCACCCTTCTTGAAGGTACTACCCATGGCAGCTTTTGTGCAAGGCATTCTAGATTATTATTATTATTATTATTATTGTTATTATTGTTATTATTATTATTGATAATAATAATAATAATTATTATTATTATTATTGCCATGCCGTGCCAAAAGATCTCAGTCGGCATTAGGAAACAATAAACATCGACAAAATCACAATCCATCAACTGCGCATCATTCGAAAATACATCACACAGTCCTAGACACTTGGGAAGTGTTCGACTTGTGATTTTTTGATACGAAATCCAGCATATAGATCTCATTTGCTGTGACATACTGTGCTTTTGTGTCAGTAAAATAATAATAATAATAATAATAATAATAATAATAATAATAATAATATCATCTCTAATATCCTAGGCCAGGTATCCTCAAACTGTGGCCCTCCAGCTGTTTGGGCCTTCAACTCCCAGAATTCCTGACAATTGAACAAGCTCGTTAGGGCCTCTGGGAGTTGGATGCCCAAACAGCTGGAAGGCTGCAGTTTGAGGGTGCCTGTCCTAGGCCCTTGGGAAGAGCATGATATTCAGAGAGGAATCCCAGACACTTGGATCTAATGTGCATGTGTGCTATGTTGTTATGTACATGTAATGTTGTAAAGCAATACTTTTGGGTGCAATGGGAAGTTGCTACCAATTGCGAGGGAAATAAAACTGAACCCTGTGAAAGCTACTCACTATATGGCTATCAGCCTCCTCCCAGTAAACTTAAATCAAGGAAAAGTTTAATGAGAGCCACCATTCCCCTAAACATTCCTCCAGCAACAAGAATATCCCTGTGGGCAGCAAAATCAGGCAAATCCAACTGGATGGTCCCCCACAAGGGTCTTCCTCCAGGGGTAAACCAAGAACGGGCAACTTGGAAGTCCCTGAAACAGATTCAGAAGTGGAGTGGGCAGATCAAAAGGCAACCTGACAAAATGGCCCTACCTAGAAAAATCCTCCACCTTGTGTGATTGCAGAGCAGAACAAACAATTCTGCATTTGTATGCTTGTCCACCATGCCCTGACTCATGCACAGGGGAAGAACTGTTTAAAGAAAGCATGAGCAAACTTTCTAACTTGGGGGCCGCATGGTGGGCCGGAGCAGAATGGTTGGACTAGGAGTGGGGTTTCTCTCCAAATTCCCATTCCCTTCCCTTTCCTCCCCTTCCTCTTCTATTTCGGAGACAGAAAGTGAAGGAAAGATGAGAACGTTTGGATCCCAAAAGGGGTTAGCCTTGGTCAGGATGAGATGGTGGATGGGAGAGAAAAGTGTATCCATGAGACCCTGTATTGCCTTCTCCTGATATAGAATTCCAGAATTATAGAGCTGGAAGAGACCCCCAACAGCCATCCAGTCCAACCCCCTGCTATGCAGGAAGGCACAATCAAAGCACTCCCAACAGACACAGCCTCTGCGGAAAAACCTCCAGAGAAGGAGACTCCACCACACTTCCAGGCAGCCTAGGCCACTCTCCAACAGCTCTTACTCTCAGGAAGGGGAAAGAGAGAGAAGGAAGGAGGGAAGAAAGAGGGAGGGAAGGGAGGAAGGAAGGACGAAAGGGTGGCATGGAAAGAAGGAGTGAGAAAGAGGGCGGTAAGGAAGGAAGGGAAAGGAAAAAGAGAAGGAAGGAAGGAAGGAAGGATAGGATAGTGAGAGAGAGGAGGGCCTGAGAGAAGAGCCCAAGGGCCTGAGAGAGGGCCTGAGAGAAGAGCCCTGGGTTTGCCCATACCTGGTTTAAAGCTACAGACAATGTGGTTGCTATTGCCCGTTTTTGGTCTAAAACTATCTAGCAGCTTGTGCTTCCTTTATATTATCAGTTTTAGATAAACTATTTTATCAGTTTAGATAGACTATTTTATGCAATGCTTTTGACACAAAATAAATAAATGTACATGTAATAAAATTATTATTATTATTTTGTATTTATTACCCGCCTCGCCTCACGGCTTGAGGTGGGGCACAACACAGTTAAAATACATCACAATACTAAAACTCATCTCATAAAAAGCAGGTTTAAAAACATATTTCTAAAGTAAAGGTAAAGGTTTTTTCCTGACATTAAGTCCAATTATGTCCGACTCTGGGGGTTGGTGCTCATTTCCATTTCTAAGCCGAAGAGCCAGTGCTGTCCGTAAACACCTCCAGGGTCATGTGGCCAGCATGACAGCATGGAGTGCTTTTACCTTCTCACTGGAGTGGTACTTATTCATCTACTCACATTTGCATATTTTCGAATTGCTAGGTTGGCAGAAGCTGGGGCTAACAGTGGGAGCTCATGCCGCTCCCTGGATCTGAACCTGCGACCTTTCGGTCAGCAAGTTCTGCAGCTCAGTTGCAGCGGTTTAACCCACTGGTTTAACCCACTGCGCCACCGGGGTCTCCTACATATTTCTATGCATATATTTTTTAAAATCCAGCCAAATATGGTGGAATTCAATAGATCTCCTTGGGTTATTTCAGGAGTTCACATTTCAATATTCTTTCATCTAGAAGTGTCAGGGCTACCAAAGCAGGAAGAAGGCAGAGATGGGCAGAAGATAGGTACAACTCTTGGAGGAAGTTCATTGCCTTCCTAACAGTACTCCTCTAGGAGAGCAGGAGGAGAAGCCAGGACACCTTCCTCACCTCCAAAAATAGTCTACCACGTTCTGGTATCCCCAAGCTTCTCTGCAACCCACTTCCCAACCAAGGATATAATCAGGGATATCAATTCCCAACCAAAGAACCACACCCATAAGTTTCAAAGGTAGGCTTTCAGGACGGTGCATTCACAGGAGGGACAAAACTTTCCATTAAAAACAGAATGTTTTGGGCCTCTTCACACTAGAGAAAAAAATCTACTTAAAATCTGGTTTCTGCCTCCTGCAGAATTCTGGGCTTTGTAGTTTAGGGAGGAGCCTTTAACAGTCTCACTAACCTACAAACCTCAGAATTCTGTAGGAGGCAGAAACCAGATTTTAAGTGGATTTTTCTGTAGTGTGATGAAATATAAGGTACTGGAGGGATGTTTGATGTCAAACACTTACAAAGTGAAAGCAATATTCATATAAGACTAGGAATTATTTCACTTTGTGAACCACTTTGTGAACCATATTCTAGATAAGAACAGTGGCCGAAGTTAGCAGGGAGTCGAACGAATACAGTTTGACCCACTTGAATGTCCTGGCTCAATGCTGTGGAGTCCTAGGATTTTGTAGTTTGGCAAGTCACAGACAGTCTTGGGCAGAGAAGGTGAAAGACTTTGTAAAAATACAACTCCCAAGGTTCTGTAGCACTGACCAACAGCAGTCCAAGTGCATTTATTCTACAATGCAGAAGACCCTGGGATGGCAGATAAACATCAAGGAAGGTAGGTGAGGATGTTGGGTTGCCTTGGCCCAAATGTAAACACCTTCCCTTCTACATTGGTTAAGCAAGAGATCCACAACTCAGAGTAAAAGTGGATAACTTATGACCCTCCAGATGTCACTGGACCAAAAGTCCCATCAGTACTGGCAGCAGAATAGTGAGAGATGATGGGATTTGCAGTCCAATAGGGGGTGAAGAGCTGCCCATTGCCCAGCACTGCTTTAGAAGCAACCGGCCTCCTTCCAAATCCTCACCTGAGCTCAGCCTGAGCCTCTGGGATTCAGGGCCACTTTTGCTGCTCGGAGACGGGCTTCTCCTGCTCCAGGAATCTTTGCTGCTCTTCCTCCTTTTCTTTACCTTCTTTTTCTCTGCCACATGGTGCTTACTTCGAGAGTCACTTCGGCTCCTGCTATGCGATCTTTTTCTCAGCTGGTTGTGAGCCATGGCACATTCAACCCTAGTCAAGACAAAGACAGGACTGTTTTTCCCCAATGTTTGGGATAGTGATTAACAATTAAACGATCACATTTATGATGGAGTCACAGAACTTTTCAATGTGCTTGCAAATGGTGGGGAGACACGTTCCAGGGTCTTAGAAAGATGGCTGTATAGCCTCAATGCTCGGCCCAATCTTGCTGTTTCTGCTTAATAGGATACCACTTCGTGACGGTAAAAAAAAAAAAAAGACTGAAAGTACACTCTGACATTAAGGAATGAAATGAGGGTCTGGTTTCTGCCTAGCAAGTGATTCGAGAGGCTTTTTTTCCATCCAAAGGAACGAAAAAAAAGATCAGACAGCAGACAATGGCAATCCAGACAGTTACAGGATGTCCCTTAATGGGTCCAAAGGAGATAAAGCAAGAAGACAAAGCCAGGAACCAAATCAAAAAATGCAATTTAAATCCCCCTCCCTGAGGCAGCTCTGCAAAGAACTGCAAGAGAACAACAAGCAAGCACTTGACCCGTTAGTATGTCATGCGAAAGAATTCTCAAATAAGCTAAGCAATTTATAGAAAATTGCTTCTGATGTGCTGGACGTAAGCATTCAAAGAGAAAGACGGATCCGAGGCCTTCAAGAGCTCCTTGACATCATTACTAATAAGATGAAGGGCCTTGAAAACCAGGAGCACAGGAATAATTGGAGAATTCAAGTGGGCCCAGAATGCTAGGACGAAGGGGATTGGGCAGCACTCTTAATTAACTGAATTCCAGAATTGTATTCACATGGCAAATGAAGATTTGGAACAGGCACACAGAGCCCTGGGTCACCATCTATAAAGCCCATGACTCATGAGAGAGAGAGAACCACCTAGCCAGTTTGAAGCATGCAATTTAAACTTGTGTATTTAATGTATTTAATGTATTTAATGTGTATTTTATAGGCCCCCTTGTGGCGCAGCAGGATAAACTGCTGAGCTGCTGAACTTGCTGACCAAAAGGTTGATGGTATGAATCCAGGGAGCGGGGTGAGCTCCCACTGTTAGCCCCAGCTTCTACCAACCTAACAGTTCAAAAACATGCAGTCATGCTGGCCACATGACCTTGGAGGTGTCTACAGACAACGCCGACTCTTTGGCTTAGAAATGTAGATTAGCACCAACCCCCAGAGTTGGGCACAACTGGACTTAATGTTAAGAAAAAAGCTTGACCTTTACCTTATAGAAATATGTTTTACTATGTATATTTTATAGAACTACATTTTATATGTGTGTTTATAGGATTTTTGTTGGAAATAGCAACCTGCTACAAGCCTCCTATGCTAGTTATTTCTTATGTATATAATTGAGATTGCTGACAATATTGTGTGTATGTATTGGTATGCAGTTTCCCCCTTAACTATATGTTGTTAGAGGTTGTAGGGTAGACTACACACCATGTGACTCTGATCTTAGAATGCTCAGAGTGTGACTCCATTTCAGAATGTGTTTGAACCAGAAGCCAGTCCGAGTCAGTTGAGGTTTGAGTCAGTTGGAAGTTAGACGTCAGTTGAGTTGGTTGATGTCAGTCACAGCAGGAGTATAGTCAGTATGCTGCAGTGAGATGTTCAGTTAATATATGAGTCTGTTTCCAGCAGATGTATAGTACAGTATAGCACAGTTGATGTATAGTAGAGTTTGCATCAGAAGTATAGTACAGTATATTAAAGTCTGAAGTATTATTCAGTTAACATGAAACCAATAAGCAATGTACCTGTATACTACATTCATGAAGTTTGTAAGTAAATCAACTATGTTAACTTTTAACGAAGACTACTCATTTTTGGTCTCTTGAGAGTATGATTTGAAGGCGATATATTTTATGGGAGTAGATTTTTTTTTTGGGCAACGGAAATAACACTTAAAGATCTGCTATATATTTCATGCATTGGCATAGCTTTGTTCCTAACAGTTCAGAGAGATAACCAGGTATATCAGTCTAACAACTCAGAAATCTACATTGCCTTGCATGAATACTAGTGGATATTTATCACTAAGGAGAAGACTGACTCAAGAGAGTTTTTAACTCTTCTCAAGAAGATCATACTTTACGAAATCTCTAACAAGGTCATGTTTTTCCAAAAGGTAATGATTACTCCAAATAGTGTGAATGTCAATTAAACTCCGAAAGGGTCATGCTTCCAAAAGCGTGTGGAGATTCCTGGTTTCCCCAAAAGTTTTTACAATGTTTGTGTGTTTTGATTGTGCTGTGACTTGCTTTGAGGCATGAGGAGAAGCAGGTTAATAATAATAATAATAATAATAATAATAATAATAATAATAATAATAATAAGAGAGGTCTTGATTTAACAGATAGGCTAAAATGATGTCTGGAAAATGCCCAAAGCAATCCAAAGCCTCATGTTTGAAGACAGAAAAAAAATCTCTGTATATCAAACAGCAGCACCAAAAACCTCTACAGAAACACTATGCTTTACTTCAATTCCAGCAGCTGGATACTAATATAATTGGGGTGGAGAAATTGGATGGAGGGAGAGTCAATCTAGCCCTTTCTGGAGAACTGTGTGGGCAAAACAACTGACTAGACAACCCAGGCATTGATGGGGAATTACTAAACTGACTTTTCCATTTACTTTATTCGTTTATCTTCCAGGATGGACTTCCTAGATCAGGTAAAGGTAAAGATTTTCCCCTGGCATTGTCATGTCCGATTCTGGGGGTTGGTGCTCATCTCCATTTCTAAGCCAAAGAGCTGGCGTTGTCTGTAGACCAGGCATGTAGCCAGGGGGGGGGGGGGCTTGAGGGGCTTCAGCCCCCCCCCCCCGAAATTCTCATGGTGGTTCGCGAAAAGGCCTTACTGGTGCATTATTTAAACTGTTATGTTTATTCCTATCATGATCTGATCACCATGCTCAATATATCCCATATGCATGGGGGTATTGGGGTAATGATACAAAAGGTTTGCTAGGGTAGACCCTCTTTCACTCAGACTCAGCCCCCCGAAACTCAGCCCCCCCCGAACCCCCCTGAAAAAAACTCACCCCCCCCCCCGAAATGAAATCCTGGCTACGGCCTGTAGACACCTCCAAGGTCATGTGGCAGGCATGACTGCACGAAGCACTGTCACTTTCCCGCCAGAGAGGTACCTATTGATCTACTCACATTTGCATGTTTTCAAACTGCTAGGTTGACAGAAGCTGGGGCTAACAGCGGGAGCTCTCGCCACTCCCCGGATTCGATCCTGAGACCTTTCGGTTACCAATTTCAGCAGCTCAGCAGTTTAACCCACTGCGCCACTGGGGGCTCCTTCCTAGATCAGGGGTATCCAAAGTAATGCCAGCAGGCTGAATCTGGACCCCTAGAGTAATTTTTTGCATCCCCCAGCCCCTCCACTCACAGCCGGCAGGACCCTCGCTGCCTCCTCTTCCAAGGAGCCCCAAACTGGCCATGGGAAGGAAGGAAGAGAAAGGAAAGGGGGAAAGACATCAGAAGAGGGAGGGAAGGAAAGAGATAAAAGGGAACAGAGGGGAAAGGAGGAGGGAAGGAAGGAGGAGAAAGGAAAGAGAGAAAGATATGAGAAGAGGGGCGGAAAGAAGTGAAAGAAGAAGAGATAAAAGAAAAGGAGGGGGAGGAGGAAGAAAGAAAAGAGGGAGGGAAGGAGGAGAAAGGAAAGAGGGAAGATAAGAAAGAGAGAACCATATGATAAGAGGGAAGGGAAGGAAAAGAGGAGGGAGGGGAGAAAGGGGATGGAAAGAAGGGGAATGGAGAGCGAGAATGATATGAGAAGAGGGGAGGGAAGAAGGGGAAGAAAGGAGGAGAGAGGGCAGAAAGGGGAGGGAAGGAAAGAGTAGAAAGAAGAGAGGGAATGCTATGAGAAAAGGGAAGGGAAGAAAGAGAAGAAAGGGAAAAGAAAGAAAAGAGGACAAAGAAAGGAAAGGATGAGGGAAGGGGAAGAAAGAAAAGGGAGGGAAGGAAAGAGGAGAAAGGAAAGGGAGAAAGATATGATAAGACAGGGAAGAAAGGGAAGAAAAAGAGAAAAAGAAGGGAAAGGAGAAAGGAAGGGAGAAAAGGGAGGGAAAGAAGGAGGAGAAAGGACAGGACAGATATGACAAGAGGGAAGGAAAGAAAGAGAAGAAAAAGAAGAGAGAAAGGAAAGGAGGAGGGAGGAAGAAAGAAAGGGGGAAGGAAGGAGAAAGGAAAGAGGGAAAGATATGAGAAAGGGAAGGGAAGAAAGGGAAAAGGGGAAGAAAAGAAAAAAGGAAAGGGGAGGAGGGGAAGGAAAGAGGGGGAAGGAAGAAGGAAAGGAAAGAAGGAAAGATAGGATAAGAGGGAAGGGAAGAGAGGGAAGAAAAAGAGAAAAAGAAAAGAAAGAAAGGAAAAGAGAAGGGGGAAAGGGAGGGAAGGAAGGAGGAGAAAGGATAGGGGAAAGATATGAGAAAAGGGAAGGGAAGAAAGGGAAAAGAAAGAAAAAAGGAGAAGAAAGAAAGGAAAGGAGGAGGGGGGAAGAAAGAAAAGGGAGGGATGGAAGGAGGAGAAAGGAAAGGGAGAAAGATATGATAAGAAGGAATGGAAATATAGAGAAAAAAAGAGAAAAAAGAGAAGGGAGGGGAGAAAAGGGGGAAGGAGGAGAAAGGAAAGAGGGAAAGATATGAGAAAAGGGAAGGGATGAAAGGGAAAAAAGAGGAAAAGAAAAGAAAGAAAGAAAGGAAAAGAGAAAGGAGGAGAGAAAAGGGAGGGGAGGAAGGAGGAGAAAGAATACAAGGACAGATATGAGAGGGAAGGAAAGAAAGCGAAGAAAAAGAAGAGAGGGGAAAAGAGAAATGAAAGGAGGGAGTGGGAAGGAAGAAAAGGGAGGGAAGGAAGAAGGAGAAAGGAAAGAAAGAAAGATATGAGAAGAGGGAAGGGAAGAAGAGGAAGAAAAAGAAAAAAGAAAGGAGCAGAAGGGAGGGGAAGAAAGAAAAGGGAGTGAAAGGAGGAGGAGATAGGAAAGAGGGCAAGATATGCGAAAAGGGAAGGGAAG